GGGGGGGGGGGACTGATGATGTTCGAACGAAGAATCGGAGGTCGCCATCTCATTCCAAGGGTCGCAAACCCTTATGGTTGAGCCATGGTTCAGTACTGTGGAATCCGGTGGAATCACAATGTTTGCAGTAATTTTGGGCACCCGTGCAGTCGTATCGATCAAACCTTACTTGTTCGTGGCTATAATGCATTTGATGCGTCATACTCACGCTTTTAATAAAACTAGGAAAATTAAAGGTTGATCGAGAGGCAGGAAGTTCATTTCGTCTTTGCGCCGCTGGCTTGTTTGGGGTGCAAATGAGGAGAAGCCTGTCCGAATAAACGTGTTTGTGCGAGTTCAGCGAATTACAATAATTCTGTTTGGGGTTGTCGTCGTGCCCACCGCCCCGTGGGGCCTTACGGCGGCGACCTGGCGGCGACGCGCGCTGATGCTGATATATCGTTTCAATTCTTAATTAAGGTGAGGAGGACCACAGCGTAAGTCGTGACGCGCCTACCGCGCGCGTTCGACACTGATCCTGAATTACATTCGCAATCATCCTTTTACGCGACGCGCGCTCGCGAATCGTTTTTATTTTTTTCATTTTATTTTTGTTGCGTTCGTCAGGCCTGGCGTCTCTTGCATCCATCAAGGCCTCCCTCGGGCAACCCTTCCCTCCTCTCTCTCTCTCTCTCTCTCTCTCTCTCTCTCTCTCTCTCTCTCTCTCTCTCTTACATATATCCGGATGTCACGGAAACGCGCTGCAACATCCTTGCGCCTGCGCCGGTATCTCTGTGTGTGCGTGGTGGACCAAATAAAAAGAGAATGTCGGGATTTTTATCGCCATTAATCCTCTTTCCTTAGTCGTAAAATAAGCCTTGTGGGAAGGAGGCGAGTGGGGTAGTGGGGTAAAGCCTATTACAATCACGCGTGTTTTATAGTAAAGGTCGTGCTAACGACGGGCCTTAGGTCGAGCCGCGGGGCCCCAACTTTGTGTCGAATAAGGATGATGTCTGTCGGAAACGGATGCGCGGCCCTGGTGGTCCCATGCAGTGGCGTAGCTCGGGTGGGGCGAGAGCGCAACGGCAGCTTTCGAGTGAATGAGTAAAGGGGAGAGTAACTGCCCATACCCCTCTCTCTGTTTCTCTCTCTCTCTCTCCCTCTCCCTCCCTCTTTCTCTCTCTCCCTGTCCCCCCCTCTCTCACTCTCTTTTGGCTACGCCGCCGCCGGGTGCCCCGCATGGAAATAAGTATATCCAAATGACACTTTCGGGTATACTTTTGTGAAAAGTATACTTTAGGTATACTTAAAATATAGCAGATTGGAACCGCAACACTTTGGTGGCACTTTAGGCAAACTTTTTTCATACTATTTGTATACTTTGTTTACACTTTTAAGCGAGGGGTGCCCAGCTCGAAAAAATCGCGTACACCTGATTACCAAAAAGTAATGATTACCAAGGATTACCAGAGATTACCGAAGATTACCTATGATTACCAAGGGTTACCGAAGATTACCACTGACAAAAGATTACCAGAGATTACCAAAGATTGCTATTGATTACCAGTGATTACCAAAGATTACCAGTGATTCCCAGAGATTACCAGTGATTACCAAAGATTACCAGTGTTTACCAAAGATTACCAGTGATTACCAAAGATTTCCAGGAATTTCCTTGCTGGATTACTTAGTGATTGCCAAAGATTACCTAGTGATTATCAAAGATTACCTGGTGATTACCAACGATTACCGGGTGATTACCGACCGATTACCATGGATTACTGGTGATTACCATGGATTACTGGTGATTACTATCGATTACCGGTGATTACCAAGGATTACCGGCGATTACCAAGTATTACTGGCGATTACCAATGATTACTGGCGATTACCAATGATTACCGGTGATTACCAGGGATTACCTACTCTGTGTACACCTGATTACCTCAGTTGGGCACCCCTCGCTTTTAAGACACTTTGGCCTGTCACTTTTTTAGCTCTTTTTTTCCGTGCGGACCATGGTCCTCCGCGGACGGCGCGGGGCATTTTAAGAGCGCCACCGGAATGACGGATATTGGGGGAGCAGTTTAGGTCGGGCGCAGTCGTGACGCCCCTCGCCGCGGCCTCATAGTCGTTCCCGATAGCGCGTCGATAACTCGGCTATGTTCTCTTTCCCGATGAAAGGTGGCCGGGCGGCTGGCTGGTTTTTTGACTTATAGCGCGGGCTACTGGTTGTGCTGGGCAGAGCCATGGCTAAGCTGCTGCTGGGCTGGGCGCCGCTCAAAACCGGGCCGGTTGGTGGGCGCGCACACGGATCACTACTTCCCTCGAACAGGGTGAGAATTCAACATCGTTTGCGGGGTTGGGCTCGCCGGAGTCCTTGTTATATGGCAGTAAACGCTCTCTTCCCTCCCACGCGGCGCCCATGCCCCCCAGCAGCGAGAGCAGGCTTTCGCTGGCTATAAATTATGCTAATACCGCAGTGATTGGGGAGGGACTTTATTCTCCCCGGTGCGGGGACACTCCGCATGATGGATGCGCTCTGCGCGCGCTCGGGCGTACAAGTCTCCGACTCCGAGTTTTCTCGTATATTCGGGTACTCGGGTACTTCGGCGAGATGGAGCTCTATCGCCCAGGTTCGAGCGGCTCG